CAGAGATCAAGTTGTTATGTTCCAAAAAGTTTTCAAAAAATTTTGCTCTTGTTTGATAATATTTTAATTTTTGTTTTGTTTTAAAAATTAAGGTTGTTTATTAAGTATTTCTTTACTTTTTTAGAAAAAAAAAATCGAATGGACTCTTTGATTTTAGCTCTATATTTTTAAAAGTATTTTTTGAAAATTGTAGCCTAAATTTTTCTTAAGAAAAGTAAAATTTTTTAAAAGTACTTTTTTATAATATTAAAAAATGTGGCTAAGATCCTTATTTAAATTTTTATTTAAAGTAGACCAGGAAAAAAAACCGAACAAATCAAATCCACACTAAATGATTTTTTTTCCACAAAAGAAAAAATAACTAAAATTTTAATTCTACCAAATATCAAATAGTAGAGATGCTTTTTCCTACATAAAACAATTAGAAAATTACAAAAAGAAAAAAGAATAATGATCAAAATTAGACTTAATTAAATAATTGGTGTGACCCATGGCACTTACTATTCAAAGCTTTAGCATTTTTGGACATTATTGTCATTTCATGCTTTTAAGGGCCTCTCACCATTTGTGCCACTAGGTAACCTAGCCACCCTATATATAATTATTAATTTGCTTCCAAATTCAATAAAAAGAGAATGCCTCTTGTGATATTTAAATTGAGTAATAAATAGGTTTAAATATTATTTTGATTCCGTAGTCGGGATCATTTTGGTTTTTGTCTTATGATTTTTGTATGGTTATTTTAGTTTATGTATTTTTAACTTTTGTTCATTTTAGTTCGTCTACTTTCGAAATACTTTCCATTTTGGTCCATGTATTTTTAAAAAGGAACAATTTTGGTCTTTTAATTTTAATTTTTATCTCATTTATTTTTATCACAATTTTAGCATGATATTTCATTCACTAAATTTTTTAAAACGTAATCACAATTTTGTATTAAACAGTTTGTATTGTGTATCTAAAATTTTACAAATAGAGACCAAAATGGTCATATTTGAAATATACAAGGATCAAAACGAACATTTTGAAAATATAAAGGTACTAAAATGAACAAAAACTAAAAGTGTAGTGATCAAAATAGACGTTGTGAAAGTACATAGACAAAAATGAATCAAAGTCGAAAAGTACTGAGACCAAAGTAATATTTAAACCCTAATAAATATATGAAGCTCATTTGTTACCATCTTAAATGTTATTAGTTCGATCTCCACCTCACTAAAAAGAATAGCCAAACATTAGTACGTTTATTAAGTCATAGGTTAGAGTTTCATCTTCCTTGTTTGGGTTCAAATTAAACCTATCAGGGAGAATAATAAATATATAGTACTATACTTTCTTGAACATTATATTATAAAGAAAATTTGGATAATCATGATATGATATTTATGACACTTTTCACCAATTTTGGTTAAAGATAATGAATCTTAATTAATTTTATCCCCCAAAGTTGGGTTGTTTGACAAGGAAAGATCTTAGAAAATGGGAATAAAGTGTGGATAGCAACCTCAAGAAGTGGTTGAACCATTAAATTGTGAGGCAGTGGTTCAACCATAAAATAAATATACCTATACTTTACACACCATATTTTCTTTTCCAATTTTTTTAATTCATTATTATTTTTTCATCTAAAATTTAAAATAATATATATATATATATATATATATATATATATATATAAATAAACAATCTAACCAACAAAATTTTCTATAAAGTTAGATATGAAATAAGTTTTTCTTAAATAATTGAAGATTGAAATAACTGGTCAAATAAATATCTTCTTTTTATTTTAAAGAATCAAATATATAATAAAATTGATGTGGTATACAAGTTTTGATATGTAAATAGTTTCATGTGTATTATTAATATTTAATAATTTGTCTCGATATTATTAAATTTTATTCAATGATTTATCAAGTAAAATTCAATTATTGAACACTATTGAGTGATTTATCCTATTTGTATACAGATTATAAAAGATGGCTTGAGTAAATTTATTATTATTTTTTTTAGTACAAAAATACTCACAAGTAAATTTATTTTTTAAAAAGAAGGTTTTTTATATGAATTTTATCATTTATACAATGTCTGATGTCTCTATATAAAATTTTAGAAATCGTATTATTTTAATGTATTATGTAAATAGTTGATAAATGTTATTTTATATATCTTGTTTCAAAAGTTCATTTTATTTTTTTCTCTATATAGACATAATTTATTTTCAGTACAACGTGTTGGGAGAGAATTCGAATTCACAACCTCTTGGTTGGAGCTGCATACCAATTACCATGGAGCTATGTTTGTTTGGACTAAATTGCTTGATCCACAGGGGAAACAGTAATTTATTTTTTATGTTACTAGAAAAAGCTAACATGGTTAAAAAAAGTTTTTTTTTGTTCCTTCAGTTGAGTAAGGATTTAATTTTTGATCCAGTCTATATCCTTTTCAAAAAGAAAATAAAAAAAAGTCTATATACTTTCAAATTGATAAAAGTTTAAGTCCATGGACTTTAGCATGTAACAATATAATTATCCTATAGTTTAAATTTTAGAACAATTTACTCTCTACCGTGAAAATTTTTATCAAATTTAAATGTCGATTTTGAATATATAATGGTTTAGTCTTTGTAATTTATAAACACATTTGACCTCTCAACAGTTTATCAAACAACACGTTAAGAACCCTATTAAATCTTTAACATTTTTCATGAAATAGAGATTAAATTGTTGCAAAATTTAAACTACATAAAATAAATGATTACATATTTAAAGTTGAGTAACTAAATTGTTACCGACTTAAAAGTACAATAACTAAATCGTGACAAATTAAAATTTAAGAATTAAATTGTTACTTAAAAAGAACAAAAAGTGTTTTTATACCAAACTTGATACAAAATATGGGATTATTTGGGGTTTTCTAAATTTTTGTAGACTAATTCTTGAGAATTAGTTGCTATCGTTTTCATTCTTTATAAATATAACATGTGGGGTGGACAATCGAACTCACAACCTCGTGATTGGAGGTATATATCAATTACTGTTGAACTATGCTCACTTTGACAGACAATTAATGATAATAATCACCCACATGTTCATAATTTAATGGTTAAGGTAAGAGTTACCTCTAGAATTTTGAATTTCCATCCGAAATAATTAATGATAATAATCAATATACAAGGATAAAACAAAAAAAAAAAAAGTTATATTATAGTTCATAAAAATTTATACGACTTTACATGAGATTGAAGAAGTATCATTTTGCCCCATGCAATAAAATAAAGTAACAAGTTTGTCAAAACTATCTTCATTTTAATTTAAAAAAAAATATAAATTAATTCAAGCCTTTAAGACTTGTTCACTGCCACACATTTTTACATCAAAATTAAATTAATTTTTTATTTTCTTAATTTTGACTCTTTATGGGAGGGTTGGAAAATTGAATTTAATTACCTCTATAGTTATTGATAAATAAAAAAGTAGAATACGGGTAGTTTTACCTTTGTTTATAAAAATTTAAAGACATATATACTTCATGGAATTTAAAAAGGTTTGGAATTCCAAAAGTTTTTAAAGACTCTATTTTCCATCTATATTTTATTAAACAACGTAGCTTTTATCTTTCTTTCACAAAAGTGTAACAAGGTGACATGAGAATAATTCTCCTTTAAAGAAATTTTTAATGATGTGGTTTTATCTTCTTCACTTGTTCTTGTTGTTATTATTTTTTACTTCTTTTATATATATATATATATATTTGTTATATTTCAAACTTCTACTCATATTTAACTTTGTTAATTTTATTTTTACTATATTAATTTTGTTCAAATCTAACATAATTTTTTTTTATCAAAATTTATTGTTTTTCAACACAATAGTAATAATAATAATCAGTTTTACAATTTATAAATTTTTAACAGTTTAATTTAACAAATTAAATAGATTAATTTACTCGATAGCATAAATTTAATATGTATTTTAAAAAACATAGTAACTTTTCTTCTTTTTTTTTCTAAAAAATATGCATAAGTGTGAATTGAATTTACTTTACATCAAATATCAAATTTGTTTAAATTTGATTACTGTGACTAAACTTTTTTTTAATTCATTAGGTGGAGTAGGCTTTGGCAAATAAATAAATAATATGTTGATATGGTAAAAGTCTTCAGGATTTTTTAATAACATGTAGAGTGAGAGATCGAACTCACAACTTTTTTTTTAATGTTCAAGTTATTCTCGGTCGATCAATACACTATTTTAAGAATAGTTTCACATACCTAAAAAGTGAGGCGAAACTCTCTATTTACAGAGTTTGAACTTCCAATCGGAACTGAGGGATGGTTTATGAGAGTCCTACAAATCACAAAATGCTTTGTCATAGAATCGATTGTTGGTTTGCGACAACCAACACAGAAAGCATTGACTCGTCCCTTACGAGGATGAACTGATAAGACGGCGGTTGGTCAACTTGGCCTTTAAGAAGTCTCGATCGGCCAGTCCTAACTATCTCGACTCGACCATTATGAAGGTCCGAGCGATTCTCTTTACTTTTAAGGAGTTACTCTTTTGACTATACTATTAAGATAGTTTGGAGTTTTCCAACGTATAATCTAATATATAGTAGTGAGTAGTAATAAAGTAAAGTAAAATGGTTAGATGTTTAATTTTGACCGAAAGAAGATGAGAGAGCGAAAAAAAGCGACTTGAAATTCCGTGTACTAAGATTCTCCACAAACCATCTTCAGCCTCCGCACTCCAATTGTTGTCACAGGCGGTCGCACCGAGGCGCTTGGCTTTTTTACTCCCATTTCCCAAATTTTTCATTTTTGTATTTTTGCTCTCACTTTCCTCCTTCAATTTCCTTCCTTTTTCCTTCCTTCGGTTAACATCACCGTACAGTATTCTTTGCCTCCGCATCTGGTAACTTCTCCGCAGAGAAGAGTCCAAAAAGCGGAAGAGCCCCAGATGGGTTTGACCCGAGTTCAGGGGTGACCCAGGTGAGAAAAATCGCTTCCCCCATCTTTACTTTGGTTGTATGATTCCTATTCTTCTCTAATTTTTATGGTTTGGATCATCGGTTACTGTTTTCTTCTGGGTACTGATTTTTCTGTTTCGCCGGAGAGTCGTGATTGCGTTTACTGTTGTGTTCGTGTCCTTTGGGTTGGTCTGTTTTTGTCGATTGATTCGATGTCCCTGATTCCATTTGGGTGATGGGTTGATGACCGTGGATCTAACGGCTTTTCATTTTGTTTGTTTGTTTTTTGAATTCTTGAAAACGGTGACCAGAGTTGAAGTCTATGTAGGATCGAATTGAGATTATTGAGCGTCCGCGACGGTTCAGACGACTGGTTTCTGGCTTCGTATTTATCATTGAACTTTTAGTCAGGATGCCATGGATTTGAAGCGAAGGGAGGGGGTAAATAGAGAGAAGACATGATGGATGTGATTTACTGTGAGGAGGAAATTGAAAGATTCTATGATACCCGTGAGGAGATCTCCTCTGTTTCTGATTGGGGATCTGATTGCTCTGAGAACTGTAGTACAAGTTTTGGGGATGACGGAGATGTTCCTGAAACTTTAGGGTATGGGGCCTGGATAAGGAATCTGGAAAGTGTTCATGAGAGGAGAAGTAAGTTCCTCAAATGGATGGGTTTGGATTTAGGTCAGAATTTTGACGACAGAGATGAAGAGGAAGGGCTTTGTTTCGGGAGGGTTTATAGTGATAGAATTCTAGAAGATTGTGGAACGGTGTTGAGACTTTCAGGTTCTGAAGGGGAGTTGTCTTCAAGGCTTACCATGTCTTCCATGTCAAATGAAGTGCCAGAATCGTCTGGAAATGTTGCTGTGGAGGAGAGTTATGCTTGTACTATCAGGAATTTGGACAATGGGACTGAGTTTGTCGTGGATAGTCTCAGTCAAGATGGAATGTTGAACATATTACGGGAAGTTGGTTCGAATCGATCCTTCAGTTTTGATGAGTTTGAACGGAACATTGGGCAGTCTCCCTTGGTTCGGCAACTCTTTCGCAAAAATGCTGAAAAGGCTGGGCCTTTGGTCAATGCCAAAAAAGAGGTAAAGAAGGGTTGGCTGAGAAAATTGGGTGCGGTGACTTGTATGGTTGACAACCAGGAGGACACAATTAAGCGTGGTGTTCTCAATTCATCATCTAAGACAGGGATTCAACAAGTTCGCGTTCATCCATATAAAAAGCAGTCCAAGGAATTATCATCCCTTTTTGTGGGACAAGAGATTGAAGCACATAAAGGGTCAATTTCTACAATGAAGTTTAGTGTTGATGGAAGATACTTAGCTACTGCTGGTGAAGATGGTGTTGTGCGTGTATGGCAGGTGATTGAAGATGTGAAATTCGACAATTTTGACATTCATGATATCGATCCTTCCTCTCTGTATTTCTCAATGAATCCTGTGTCCAAGTTAGAGCCCTTGGATGTGCCAACAGAGACTGTAGGCAAGACCAAATTGAAGAGATCATCAAACACAGCCTGTGTAATCTTTCCACCAAAGCTATTTAGGATATCGGAAAAGCCTCTGCATGAGTTCTTGGGACATAGTGGCGAGGTCTTGGATCTCTCTTGGTCAAAGAAAGGGGTCAGTATCATAAACCACTCTTTTATGGGCCTTTATACAAATTCATTTCTTCAGTATATATGCTTATGATTGTCATGATGCCTCTAATGATACCAGTAATTTGTGGATACCCTTACGTATTGTTTACTCTTTATTCTTAAATTGCTAAAGCCACTGATTTTTCATGTTTTTATGTTCTATTGCAGCTTCTGCTGTCATCTTCCGTTGATAAGACAGTTCGCCTTTGGCAGCTGGGATGTGACTCGTGCCTAAGAGTTTACTGTCATAATAATTACGGTAGATTTCTTCAGGCATACATATATTGTTGGTTTTTTATGTATGATTTCACATTAATATTGATGGACGAAATATTTTTCTTGTTCTTGTTATCTCCCTATGTTTATTCAGTAGATTTTTTTTGATGATTTCTTTACCATCTTTTGCAGTGACGTGTGTTTGTTTCAACCCTCTAGATGAAAATCACTTCATAAGTGGCTCAATAGACGGTAAAGTTCGGATTTGGGAAGTTCTTGCTTGTCAAGTGATTGATTATATTGATATCCGTGAGATAGTAACTGCAGTCTGTTACAGACCAGATGGAAAGGTTCGATATAGTTTTTGTGATTTTTGTATTTTTGTCTGTCGGCCTCCTGCCCCATCCCCTATTTCTGTAGTATTACTTACTTTCTTACTTAACCTGTGTGTAGGGAGGAATTGTGGGATCCATGACTGGAAACTGCCGTTTCTATAATATCATAGGTATACATGTGCAGTGCAATATTGCTTTAATCCAGTTCTTTTCTCTCACGTTGTGTCATTCTTTTTATAAATATAATCTACTTGATATTAATAGAACTCTTGGGAAAATGCTATTAGTTCTGCCTCTTGTTGCAGTTTATTTGTGTATTGATGATGCTGTTTTTTCAATTGGGGGTGTTTGGCTCCTTGGTTAATGTTTTTTATCGCTCGAGGTTAATAAGCCAAGCCTATGTTGGGGAGATGTTAGTTTGCTTATCCTAGGTCTGGGGTTTGGTAATCCTTTAGGCTTGTATTAAACCCGTGTTTTATAAACTCATGCTATGAAATTTACCTTTATTACGTACTAACATCTCCAAATTATAAACCCCCAAATCAAACCTATGTTTTTTCCCCCTTTTTTTTTGTGAAAAAAAACTGAACTTCCATCGGGAAAAATGAAATAATACAAAAGGACCTATAAAAAAATGGCCCAACAAAAGGGAGCCAAAGTAAAAGAATGGGCTCCAATCTAGCAACATCAAAGAGCAAAAGGGCACCAAATTCCAAAGGGAAACATGAAACCAAGCCAGAGTGCAGACTTCCTCCCAAGATTTCTCAACCCCTCCAAAGACCATGTTATTGTTACACAAGCGTAGATTTTTAAATCCTATTTCTTCAACAATTTATACTTATTCAGGCTTCCCGACCCCAAGTTTCATAAACCCAAACTTATCAAAATTGTCAGCCAAACATCTCTATAGAACCCACATCCCAAAAGTTCTCATTGCATTGACTGAAGAGTTGTATTCTTTCGCTGCAATCAAAATGATTTATAATATGTTTTTGCCTCCTACTATGTTTTGCTTCTTTTCTATTGAATAGATCTAGTTTAAGTAAGGTCATTGCACAGGTATTTTTATCAACATCGTATGCATCTTTAGAACTCAAGGACATAATTATACAATCTATTAGGTATAGAATAGATCTGGTTCAAGTAAGATCGTCTCATCTAATGCATCTCAATGTTTTACATTTAACATAGCTAGGCCTGAAATTATTTGGTCTAATTGTATAATTTAGCTTGTTGAGATCTTCCTTTACTATCAAATAACATGGTGGAGGTAACTTTGTTTGATGAAAATAAGATGACACATGCCTATTTTTAGTACATGTGTATACTATTAACTTGGTGTAGTAAAGCAATTGAATGGGAAAATGCTGCAGCTTCTTTATAAATTTCTGAAATTTATTTCTTATTTTATTGGTTCAGATAATCGATTGGTGCTCGATGCTCGGATATGCTTAAATGGGAAAAAAAAGTCACCTGGGAAGAGAATAATTGGTTTTGAGGTATTTTTATCACATCCCCAAAAGTCTTCTCAACATGTCGATTCGACTCGCTTATGTATTACACTCTGTTGTCTTTACAGTTCTCTCCTAACGACCCGAACAAACTAATGGTCTGTTCTGTTGATTCGCCGGTTCATATAATTTCCGGAAGTGATGTCATCTGCAAATTCAAGGGTATGCCGATATTTCCACTTTCGGGTTGATGCCATAGAGAAAAAAGGAGCAAGAAAGAAACAGAATTGTTAATCTTCTTTCTGCTTTTTCTCCTTAGGTCTTCGAAGTGCTGGAAACAAGATGTCTGCTTCTTTTACCTCAGATGGGAAGCATATTGTTTCGGCCGGTGAAGAAAACGTTTATGTTTGGAACTACAATTGCAAGGACAAAGCATCTCGGAAAAAGAAAATCTGGTCATCCGAAAGTTTCTTTTCTCGAAATGCAACGATGGCCATACCTTGGTCTGGTGTGAAAAAAACCACACTGGAACCACCTTTATCTCCAACGCAAGTTTGTGATACAGTGGGAAGTGTCCCTGAAAAGGAGCTGAAGTACGTGGATGATGATGGCGAGAGAGAACACAAGGTTCCCTCATCGTCACCGGATTGCTTCTCTCTAAGCCGTACTCTTTTTCCCGAGTTGCTCAAAGGATCTGCAACTTGGCCGGAGGAGAAACTCCATGATTCTAGCTCAATGACCCCTTCACCTTCACCTTCAATGTGCAAATCTGAGTTCAAGTTTTTGAAGAATGCTTGTCAAAGCATGCTTAACTCTCCGCACATGTGGGGTCTTGTGATTGTAACTGCTGGATGGGATGGACGAATCAGAACATTTCTCAACTACGGTTTGCCTATTCGATTATGAGCCAGTTCCCCCGAAATGATTCGGTTTCGGCATTTGCATTTGC